CTCTGTCCTGTCTGGTCTCGTCTGACTACTGCAATGAAGAAGGCAACTGGGTGGCGCCTTTTGATTTGGTAGTGAGCGGTAGGATTGGCGGGTTAGGGTTTATTGGGTGGCGGTAGGGTCAGAGGCAAGACGATGAACAGCCAATCAAATCTTGCCACGATAGCCAGGTCCCACATTAGATCCTGCCTGTGTCTAGGATGACACCTTGCATGCCACATATTCCTCTTTCGATAATTAATTTAACTAATCCGGTTTACTTCATTTTAGAAACTTAATTAAAATAAGACAAGTAATTAATTTAAATCTATAAGTTGAACTTAATTATTATCATGAGTTAACAACTCTGAATTTCAACCTCTACAGCTCTTCTTCTTAAGATCAATTGAAAATAATAACAATGATAATTAATTTAAAATTTGATTTTAATTCTTAAAAGTAATCGTGGTAAAATATGTTATTTATACTATAATAATAACAAAATTTATCAAAATCATATACCTAGTATAATGTTTTTTTTACTATAAATTTTATTTTTAGAAAATAATAAAAACGGAAATTATTTATCTTTAAAAATAATAATTTATTAAATATTCACTAGTTATGTATTATATTTGATAATTCTATAATTATTTTATTATATTATAGATAATAAGAGTTTTTGGGTTATATATGAGTTACTACAAAGTAATTTTTTTTTTTTTTATTAAGTAGATATGATGTTTCTTACTATATTTATGAAGTACACACAAAGTTATCTTTAATTTTTATGGATTAAAACTTAATATTAATTTAAAATTTAAGAGTTAGAGTTTTATGTTTAGAATTTGAGTTTGAAGTCGAGGTTTAAGATTTAAAACATTTAGTTAATATCCTACAACCATATCATTAACAAAATATTTCATAATATATATATATATATATATATTTTTTTTTTTTCCTAAAACTGAAAAGTATATGGGTTACAATAGCCTTCTTTTAACTCAATGCATTTTGTTTATATATACGCATGTAATATAAATTAGGTTCCGAGATTGGCCTCAACCTAGTCCAAGGAGTTCGACCTAAACTCAAACCCAAACCCAAACCCAAACCCAAATTGACAAACTAACTCAAGAGGCCTTGCTCTCTCCCCTTTCCAAAAAAATGGTTTGACTTGACAATTGTTGGTGATGCATGTATTTCTCAAGTCATGTATAATTTTTTTGATTAACAATGTTATTTCTCTATTTAATATATCAAATAAAGAAGTTATGTTATCAAAAATTAAATCACAAAATTTTAATTAAAATGCTAAAGAAAGCCTAAAAAAATTAGTTAAGTAAAACTTTTATTATTGTATTTTTTTAATAATTAATAGAATCTATATATTTTAAAAACTCATAAAAAAAAAAAAAGTATCATACAGCGTGTAAAGTCATAAGACTTAATGAAAGTATTAAATTTTAACTATTGTCTTGATGAGCATGTCAATCACATCTTTTGAGATTGAAGAAGATGACTCTTTTAACTTTTTAATTTTCGCTTCAGTTTCTTCTTCCAATTGTTTAGAAGTACATCCTGAATTTCCAGTTATCTGTACATGATTAAACTTAATAACAAAAAAAAATTGTATTATGATATTCTTA